TCTCGTCACCAGCTGGGTTGCTTTTCGAGCGGCCACTCTGGCTGTAGAGGTGACAGAAGCTGCCGCAATCACAAGCAATCCAGGCCATCCCACCAGGGCGGACACGTGCCACCATTCTTGTGGCACGTGTCGCACCTAAGTTGGTCAGAGCATCGTTTAAGGGGTTCTCCAGGATGTCGTACTTCTCGGCTTTCAAGTCTCGCAAATGCATAGCAGTATAGATGTTACCCACACCAGAAAAGATCTCGCATCCATCCAGTTCCGGTTGCACTCCATCTGCTATGCGCAGCATGTCCTCGAAGGTGAGCCCAGCACTGTGAATGTCTCTGCTCCATATGAGTGCCTGGCGCCGCATGTGATCCATCCCAAGAAGGATTGTAGGAGCTGGCTTGGGTGCTCAGAGGTTTCTGGGTCGCTGTGCTGTCTGGAGGGTCTTGTCTTAGAAAGGTCTCATGTTATCTGCAGATAGAATGTTGACTTCTCGACGATAATTGGAGCCTCTGAACATCCGGGTACACACATGTGGCATGCAACCATGCGGACAATAATACTTGGACACCATGATAAAGATGCACCCTGGCAGCTGACCCCATGTTGCCCGTTCAAAGTCTTGGATTGGCAAGGTAAGTCAGGTCTAAGACTTGCCTTGTGGGTACATGTGTGTTAGCACACATGCACAAGTCAGGATCTTGGCCTCCGGCAGTCCTCCCGATGGAAAACAAATAAAGCCAATATGTGCAAGACACGACGAAACATGAATCTGAGAGAGTACTATGAAGCATATTGTTGCCTGAACCAAAACCACAGGCATGGTATGGCTTACAACCTAGAATGAATGTCTCTCCTTCTTCCTTGATGGACTGCACAAAGCTTCGGATCACCCCTACCGATTTCTCGACTGTGTGGCCGAGCCGATGGCTTTATGATGTACAGCATTCAACCCATTATTTGCATGGAAACAAGCACACACCACTCAGACTCAGCCGAAGTGCCTGGAGAAATCTACACAAATGATGCTAAAGCATGCCGTATACACATGCTGGCCGACTTGTCCAAAAATGCCAGTCGGATGTGTCAGACTGGCTCTGTCGCTGCCACACTCGCTCACACATCATTCCGAAACTTCCTCAGAAATGCATTGTGGGCATCGTCGAAGCTGAAACCCTCCGAGTTGATCTTCGCCTGCATGAAGAGCAGATAGACCTCCTGCATCTTCGGCCCCTTGATCCCTGCCTTCTTAACATCCTGGAAGCACTCCCGGATCGACAAGAAAAGGTCACGGCCCTGTTCGTTCATGGGCGGGCGCCGTCCAGCGAATGTCAGGGCTTCCCCTCTCTTGGCACGGGGCTTCTTGTCTTTGCCCCGATTTTTTCCTTCAGGTGTTGCTTCTTTGGCTTCAGGAAACAGCACCCGCTTAGTCGCAACGATCTTTGACTCTGTCTTGTCAGCCTTCTTCTTGCTCTTGGTGGCCGATTTGGCTTTGGCCTTGCTCTTGGGGTTCGCCTTCATGGGTGTGGCCTTTGGGGAGCTCTTCGGTGTCTTGCTGTGAGGGCTCGGGCTCGCCTTCATGGGTGTGGCCTTTGGGGAGCTCTTCGGTGTCTTGCTCTGAGGGCTCGGGTTCGCCTTCATGGGTGTGGCCTTTGGGGAGCTCTTCAGTGTCTTGCTCTGAGGGCTCGGGCTCGCCTTCATGGGTGTGGCATTGGCTGTTGGGGTCCTCTTCGGCGTCTTGCTTTTGGGGCCTGCGGGGCTTTTGCTCTTCGGGGTCTTGCTCTTGGGAGTCTTGATCACCGCTTTGCCTGCAGGACTTCCTTTCTTCGGGGTCAGAGACTTTGTGATCTTGGGAGTCTTCATCTCCGGCTTGACGTCAAAACCCTTCGTCTTCACAGGGCTCCGGAACATCGGCTCATCCAAGCTAAGCACACATGTGTGTGCACTTTGCTCAGTATCTTCAATGGCAGAAGATCCCACCCACAAAGCAGCCATTTGACGCTTGGAAGCACACAACACCACAGCAGCTCGAATCACAGATGGCTTTGCAAGAACAGGGATCTGACATGTTCATGAATCAGACTCGGCATTCTTGCTAATACTGCAGCACAACAGTGAAGCCAGCCATCCTGCATGCATCCGTTCGGTTCCGTTTCAATGCACGGGCTTCAGGCAGTAGTATGGCCATGCAGCATGGCGCGGAACATCTCATCTGGGCAACTCTTCACTGATGGAAGCAAAATGTCGGCACTGGCAGCCTGTTGTTGCAAAGACTTCCGGTCACCCATAGAAATTACCCAAGCAATTTTCTGAATCAGAACCCTGCTGCAACCAATGCCCGACCGGCCAATCAGTGAACCTGTTGTTGCCTGCTGTACCGGGCTGGCTTTCCTTCTGCTTGTGAAGTAGGCAACAATTGAACTGCAAGTGTCTGAGAGAGTTACTCTTCATGCAAACGGTCAGCCAGACAATGTCCAATGTCTACGAGAGGGGCAACCTGTACAACTTGCCAGCCTCTACTTTCATGTCATGTGTCAGGAAAATCTTAGGCTTCTGGGGAAATATTCCCTTGGAGCTGTCGGTCAAATTATACTTGAGCCTGTGAACAAGCTTCAAGTGTTGGCCCAGATCGGTCCCACTGAAAGACAGCAGACTGCCACCGTTGTTGGCCGATGGGGTTTGGTTTGCTGGCAAAGGCTTCTTCTCAAAGCAGCACTCCTTTGTCATGTTGATCTTGTAGCTGTCCTAGCATAGCGGGGCATTGCATGAAAGACACACTGAGGCATTGAACCCTGAATCCCCACCTCAGCGACGGTGATTTCATGACATGCCATACTTGGCTGGACGATGGCATGCTGCTCCAAGAACTTGAGGAAGCTCTTGATGGTGGTGAGGCCCTCTTCGAATGCCGGCACGTTGCCCAGCTCATGGAAATGGAATGCTTTCATGTCCGGGGAGTCAAACTTGTACTCCATGAGCCATGCGTTGTTGGCCTCCTGCCTCTTCTTCAAGACATCGTCCTTGATGTACTCACCCCAAAGCAGCAGCAAGGGCTTTTTGCAGCTGATGATGGTGCTTTTCTTGGCCAACAACCACAGCTGCTTCTTGGCATCGATGAGCAAATCCATGTCAGCTGCACTGATCTCCACCAGGGGCTTCTCCAACTGAGCCTTGGTTTCGGCGGCTGGGGCCAGGCCCAGCAATGCCTCCATTGGGTCGGATTCATCTGCCAGTGGAGCCATGCGCTTCTGGCCCTTGAATGGCACACCCGAGACATTGAACTCCTTGTCGTGCGCCGCCACCACTGCATCAAACTGAATCTTGCATGCATTGAAGCGGCCATCCGGCGAGTCTAGCCAAGCCTGCCGAAATGGCAGGGCAGCCTTCTGCCCTTCGCATTCAACCAGAGGCATGGTCATGACAAAGTCTTCCTCATTGTACTGCGGCGACTTCATGGCTGTGTAGATCTTGGGCGTGTAGCCGGGCAGAGTGAGGATCTTGTCATCCACCATCTTCTGCATGTAGTTCATGGTTCCCGAAATCAGCCACTGCTGCATCCCTCGGCGGTGGTCAGTCCCACTATCGTCTTTGGCCCAAACAATGCTGGCTAACTTACCCTGAGGCAACACAGACTTGGGCTGCGTGTTGAAGTGAAGCAGTGCCTTCGTGAGTGACAAATCATAGGGCAGTATGTCTACTCTACATAGACAGCCGGCTTTGCCAATGCTGATGTGGGCATCCCATGCCAGAGTCGTGGCAGGAGTTTGTGCCAAAGCTGCTGCCCTGACATACTCTGCTTGAGTCGCTGCGACTTCGACAAGCCGGATCCGGAGTGCAACATGGACGGCTCGGGAACAATGTACTCGCTGGTGCTCAACAGGGGCACATCGGCAACCGTTGTCCGTACCCAGAGTGCCGAGGATGAGAATCCTGAAACAAGCTGCCCGGATTCCTCGACATCCGAAACGACCATGAAGAACTCATGAAACCCTCGGCGTCGGGAGGGGTTCGGGATGGAGGATTCGGCAAAAGTGAGAGTGCCCCGGCGAACGGACATGTGGAGCTCATCTGTGCGCAATTGGGTCTCGGCCGTGGCCACAGCCTCGTTCAGCTTCTTTTCCGAGTAAGCGGACCCCCACTCTGCACAATTGGGTGCAAACACAAGGCCACAAGTGAACTTTGGGTTGCCATTCACAAACTCGGACACAGCAGTGCCAATCTGGACAATGTACTTACTGAAGGCCGAGCCCAGCTTCGTGAGGTCACAGACCATGACTTGGAACAGGTCTGGTGCCACAGAGAACTTGTGCACAGCTGACTGCACAGTGGTACTCAGGAACCCGGGATTGTCAAGAAAGTACACAGGAGTTGAACCATCCACCAGCTCCTTCGTGGCCTTTTCCAAGTCATCCTTCTCCCGGAGCAGGAAAGTTGTTCGGTCCGCACTGTTCTTCGTAGTCCATTGTTTCATGGCATCCAAGTACTCCCGCCACAAGTGCTCTTCCTGGGCGAGCCGTGCTGTAACCGCCTTCAGGCGAGCTTGCTCAAGTTCCGACTCTGCCGCGGCCGCCACCACTTGCAGTGACTGCACATTGGTGTTCGTACCCATGAGCAGACTAATGAACCGGAAGTCCTTTGCCACGATCTTTGCATCACATGTTCTGCATTTCTCCGTCATTTCTCGGTCGAATTGCCCACGCAGAAACTGTGTCTCAGCCTTTGCGAAGACAGTGGGGCCCAACATCTTTTCGAAGTCAGTGGCAAAGTGACACCACAGGCAGCACATGTCATACCCGATCTGTGGGTTCGGATCACGAAGTTTTGGCGCTCGGAAGGCAAGGTTGATGGACTTCTTGGCAGTGTTCATTGCTTCCTTGAGGGATCGCAGGAAGATTGCAATTTGCCTCATGAGGAATGTGAGGTTCTTCAGTGCACTGCAAGTGAGTATCAACTTCCATTCTGACCCGATGGACATGTCTGCCGGCAATGCCCTGTCCGTCCACTTCACAAGTGTCCTCAGTGGGATGGCACTCTCCGTTGCCTTGAAGGCGTCCCAATGCTGGCTCAGCACCGAGAGGTAGCGCTTGTCTTGCAAAGGGAGTAACTTGAGCATTTGTCGCTCGGCGTCAGAGATTCTACCCGAATCCACAGAGGATCGCCGATTGAAGTCAGCGATCTTGGAATCGATCACTGCCGAATAGACGAGGCCTTGCTTGGCAACACTGAGCGAGAAGCTGTGGAAGAGCTGGATGATATCAGGTCGTGTTGATTCTGCTACAACCATCTTGCTGAGAATGCTCCTTTGCAGCAAGTCTTCGTCCGACGAGTACGATTCGAACGTGCGCTTGATGTAGAGGCACGACTTGATCAAGGGCACAAACTCGACGAATTCAGCATCCGACAAGCCTGCCTGTTCGATGAGTGCCAGGACACACTTCGTGGCCACACTCCTTGTCATGCCGACGGCATGAGAAACAGTGAACTTCTCAATCGGGTCCCCAACCACACATGTGCTTGGAAAATACACACTGAGAGGATACTTGGCACTTTGGAAAACTCCATCCAGGAAATTACGAACAGTCTCCAGAATGTTGATGGCCTTTGGCTTTCCACGGAGAGCGGATGCCTCCCCAAAGCCGAGGAACCACGTAGGCAGAAGCAGGTCCAGGACTTCTCCCGGAGCAATGCCAGGAGGGTACACATCTTGATGAGCAGGAGGACGCCAGCCACCGGACCCAGCCAAGACATTCTGCACACGAAGTTGCTGCTCCTCCAGCATGCTCGCCATGTCTGGGATAGATGCCAGCCAATCCATTGGATGCAAGCAAGTGTTTGCATCCTCGATGTCGGCTACAGCGAAGAGCTTCTTCATGACATGTTCCACCTTGCTTCTTGTAGCTGTGGACACCATGGTCCTTGGAATCTCTAGCATTAACCCAGTAAATCGACCAGAACTTTGCCGTTGCATTTACATTCCGAACTGTGTTTGTTACAGGCCCTGTAGCCAACATTGCTTGGTTCACGCGAGGACGGGCCAACAAACAAACGCCACAGCACTTGCTGCCGTATGTAAGTTGGGCCTCTATAACGTAGACTGACCTATGTTGGCCCTGGGGGGTGCAGGCAACTCAACGTTGCCCGCAAATGCTGGCAACGTGTTCTGTTGGATTTGTGTGGTCTGACACCTGCTGCCCCTGATGATCCTCAAGCTTTGGTGGCTACGGGGGGTGTAGCCACCAAAGTTCTAGTGTCATTACCTGGCCTGGGCTGCCGCTAATGCAATTCGAGACCTTTGGTGGCTACACCCCCCAAAGCCACCAAAGGTCCAGACTCATTATCTGGCCCAGGCCCTGCTAATGACTCTGGGCCTTTGGTCGCTACGGGGGGTGTAGCCACCAAAGGTCCCGACTGCATTAAGACACCGAGCACAAATGACGTCATTTGCGGGCCGCGGGGCACCCTAATGACGTCATTAGGGCAGGCCCCCCCCCCTAATGACGTCATTAGTGGCCCGACCCCCCGCTAATGACGTCAGTAGCGGCCCGACCCCCCACTAATGACATCATTAGTGGCCCGACCCCCCACTAATGACATCATTAGTGGCCCGACCCCCCACTAATGACGTCATTAACGGCCCGACCCCCCGCTAATGACGTCATTAACGGCCCGACCCCCCGCTAATGACATCATTAACGGCCCGACCCCTCACTAATGACGTCATTACCGGCCCCACCCCTCACTAATGCCGTCATTACCGGCCCGACCGTCCCCCCTCCTGGCCCTGGCGGTGGGTTTGGAGAGTGCTGCTGGGTTTGGCTACAAAACTGCAGAATGTTCAGGCATGTAGCACAACATCTTCTTTGTGTTGGCTCCTCATGCTGCTGCCAGTCGGGCACTGGGTTTCGAGAGTGCTGCTGGGTTTAGGTACAAAACTGCAGAATGTTTTGGCATGTAGCACAATATCTTGTTTGCAATGGGTCGTGATGCTGCTGCCAGCCGGGCGGCGGGTTTCGAGAGTGCTGCTGGGTTTGGGTGTTCGCCTCTTGTGACGAACCGGGGAACATCGAATTATGATGTCCACACTCTCCAGTTTTAGTGCTCATCCATGAGGGTCATGCTGGAGCCCTCCGGTCCGGATGGATCTCTGCATGTGGGTCTTTAGTGTGTTCGACAGATACATAGTATGCCTTTTTTTTTGGGGGGTAGCATCCGCTGCACATGATGAGCCTGTCACATGGCCAATTGGTTTCGAAAACTGTTTTGCTGCAAGACGGTGGGGGGATTCAATATTGACAACCTCAAGTCAGAACAACCCGCCCGGAGTGTAATGGTGCACAGCACCAAGCCTTTGTTGCAGAGGAAGGAGAATAATGAATGCAATGTGCTATCCCTTATGTCGGCACTGCAACAGGGAGTCTTGTTAACCAGATAGGACACCCCCAATTCCAAGCAAGTCCATTGTGAAGTCAATAATAGACTATCCCACAGCCCCAAGCCCAACTGAGGCCAATTGGTTCTAAGTGCCCAAATTCAAAGGCGGGAAGGGGCCGCTCCGGGGCTATTTACTTCATCTGGCAGAGAAACACTCCAGCACAAGCCTTTTTGTTCTTACGATTCATGTGAAAAAGGCAGCCCGGAGACCCAAAGCCAACAGAAATGCAGAACACAACATAATAAAAAAGTGGCTCTCTCTCACTGTCTCTCTCTCTCTCTCTCTCTCTCTCTCTTGCTCGTTTTCTGTCTCTCTCTCTCTCTCTCTCTCTCTGTCTGTCTGTCTCTCTCTCTCTCTCTCTCTCTCTCTCTCTCTCTCTCTCTCTCTCTCTCTCTATATGACTCTATATATATATATATATACACACATTGCCCATGCAGAGTGAGCCAAAGGGCCCCATTTTTCCAGTGGTTCTTTTCATTCATGCTTTGATTGAGGCCTTGCAAATGTCTCGGGTTTAGCTTGCTGCAGGAGAAGCCTAACACAGTGACAGTGGTAGTGACTCAAGAAAAGTAGAGTCAAGCTAAGTATGTCCTCAGGAGTGTTCTTTCAAGTAGTGGGGCCACACATGAGGGCATGACTTTCGTGTCCGGGCCATCAACTTTGAAACTGTGAGGTTTGCCAGACTTTTTGCTAGCTTTCGACAGAATTTGCCATACAACAACACTAAAACCTTGGACTACCTTGCCCACACCCCAGCTGCCCTGTTCAATAGTAATTTGATTGAAAATAATCTGGCCGTGCCCAAGAATCCGGAGAACCCACGAAACTGGAAGCAGTGTTATCTTTATCTTGCTCTGGTCAGAATTCAGAAGCCTTCAAATCTGGATAAGAACGATTGCTCTCGCATGTCTTTGTTGGAGAACATTCTCAATCGATATTATTGGGCTCCTGGATTAAATAAAAGCTCTGTAATACTTAACCCGCTCATCATGGCAGCAGCATGAGATCCGACACAAAGAATATATAATATATTACACTGCATGCCTGAACATTCTGCAGTTTTATGGCTGGGAGGATGGTCTGTTCCAGGAAACCAGTTCAAAACCAAATGGACCTACTCCCCGCACCGATCCTTCTTCCCATTTCCATCCCCCACAAAACAATGCTACTGTTTTCTGGGCTGGTGTTGGATTGTGTGTGTGTGTGTGTAGCATTTCTTCGTGCCGAATGCCGACCCCCTGCCCCCAAAACCTTTTTCCGCCCCCGAGCCCCCCCCAAGGCACACGGGAGTGTCGTGAAAATGAATTGTTGGTCCTAGAAATCATGCTGCATTTTTTGGCATGGTTGTGGTGGGGTGGGTTCGGTCGAGAGATACACAGAACCGGACCATCAAGACCGGGTGTTGGCCGTTGAAGAGCCCTGTGTTGTGTTGCTACATGCCACCCTTCAGGAAGTGCTGCTTTTCAGAAAGAAGAAGTTCAGTGAAGACCATCCGAGCACCCCCATCCCCGAAGAATTTTCACCCTCTCCACCGCCCCTCCCCCTGAATTCCGCTGCAAGCACAAAGCAAATGCCCTAATCCTAACCCCCCGCCCCCACCCATGCAGGAGTGTCTCAGTCTCGTGTCCTGCAAAAATGGTCTGCCCTGGGAGTCATGGGCTATTTGCTGCCACTCTGGTGGGGTGCTAGCTTCGGTTCAGGGTGTCCAAGTCTTAGTAGAATGTTTGCTTGCTCATCCTGCCATGTCTGACAGACAAGATGAAGGGCTTGGCCTGAGGCTTTTGTGAGATTCACGATGTGGGAGCACTGAACATCATGTAGCCGAAGCTACACATCTAGGCAGAACTGATCATTGAGCCGAGGCTTACTTAGGTAAGTAAGTATCGTTGCTTTCCTTGCAGAAATTGGTACCAATGTCGGCAAGGAATCCTGTTCTTTCCAGAATCAAGCTGGGCCAAAGAGTACTGAACATCTTTAGCTAAGAATCATTGTTTTCCTTGCAGAAATTGGTACCAATTTCTGCAAGGAATCCTCTTCTTTCCAGAATGCAGCTGGGCCCTCACTCTGGCTCATCACACTAGTCGCAGGAGCACTTGGCACCAGTGTTGCTGATGCAATCCTATGTACATATTCGGTGCACTCCAGAGGACTTAGTTCCATACTCGGCGGCAGTCCACAGGACCTAGTTCGATGGCTTATCTCTGGCTGAATGCTAAAGACAGGTGTGCAGCCGCTTTCCGACCCTACTACCCTGCCTCTGTACTGAGAATGATGGTTTTACTTGCATTTCTCTGACATCTCAAGGCAATCGACTTGCATCGACTAGCAGATTCCGGACTTTGCACTGAGCGCTCTTGGAGGCCTACCCTAGAAGAACTTGGAGGGCTTTGGGGGGAGGGTATTCAAGGTCTCATAATGTCACGAGGCCCGGGCTTGACTGCACATGGGTGGAGTCAGCTGAGCAATAACGGCTTGTGCAGGCTTCCACTTCGGTTGCTGGCAAGTGAAGATTCTCCGGGGATGCCGTTAATGAACACAGATGCTTCTGGACTATGAAGGGGCAACGAGGCTCCTGCTCCAAGGAGCACCGACAATGTAAGAAGGAAACCGATGATGTTCACGCAAACTTGCCACTCCTACATGCCAAATCCATGCCAGTCAAGCAAACGATGTGCAGCTGCAGTCATGTCACAGCCAGAGTCACAATGGAGAACCTGCTTGATTGCCTGTGGCAGGGCGGCTTGGTGTCCGGGGTGGCTGTGTTGGGTGCTCAGAGGTTTCTGGGTCGCTGTGCTGTCTGGAGGGTCTTGTCTTAGAAAGGTCTGATGTTATCTGCAGATAGAATGTTGACTTCTGGGTCTGACTGTTGTATGTTGCATGGATGCCTGTCAGTTTAGGACAATGTGATATTGTCATAGTTGTAACAGCAGTTTGTTTTCAAGTTCTAATGTCTCGATTGGGGACAGCTGCTTGGGTTCCCTGTCCAGGCCGGCTATGTAAACGATGCTGACGACTCATCTGGAAACACATGTGCATGTGAGAACCTAGGACCTAGGAAAAAACACATATCACTGTGCAGCTTGTGCTAGATTTCTTCAGCCGGTGCAAGATGTAAGTGCCACAATCCGAATCCCATTGCAGCACAAGTGGGTTACCTCTCAATGTCAAGCGATCCGAATGTCGACAGAAGCCCCAGAGGTTTCAAACGCTTCAGCTGGGGAAGTAGACCCTGCATGAAACGTCGAAGATGCTAGGGGCTGATGCTGGGACTTCATGTATTATCTATACAGATCTGATGTCTTTGCTCTCGGCAAAGCCTGGCTGCTCGGTGGCCAGAAGACCTGCCACAGTGTGGATGCTGGCACATGTCGTGCAGGAGCACTCATGCAGAAAGACACACTGTTCAAGCATTCCCTCTTGGAAGTAGTGTCGACAGGTGTGACTAGTGAAGGTTGAGCCTCCAAACATAAATGTTCAACACACACCATGCCTTGTCTAGAGACGAAGTAAATTTAAAGAGCCCCCGAGTGCTTGACCCTGTCATGTACCATGAAGTCTCGATGATTTTGCATTGTAGGCTTTCACTGTCAACTGCGGATCGCTGGAAGGCCACACTAAGCAACAAACATACAGCACTGAGGAGCAATTCAGGATCAAGCATGGTGCTGCCCCCGCCTCGGCACACAGTCGTGGGACCTCGGGCAGTTGCTGGCTCTGTCTCACTCTTTCTCAGCAGTTGTTTGCATCCACTAAGACAAAGCCACACAGGAGCAGGCAGAAGGCATCAGATCAATGTTGGTCGGACAGGTGGAAGGCTCACTGCAATTTGAACTGTGGGGCACTCGCACTCCAAACTCTTTTTCGCTGCCGTCGCAATCATATGCCATGCCATGCCCATCTAGTTCAAATCACTCGAGTCGGAAGTGTGCTGATGTCCAATCTTCGGCATCGCTTTGCTTTGTGGTTTGCTTTTTGCACAGCAAGCAGCCACGAACTCCTCAGAATGCCAAGGCTGTGGATGGGCCCGCGGAATCTGTCCAAGGAGCGGTGACAGATCAATGAGTTTTGGGTTTGGGGGCGTCAGGTTTAGATTACAGGGTTCATGAAAGGCATGAGTTGGCCTCATTCTGCACACCAAGCCTACTGCCAAGACTCACCAGGCCGTCTGGCATACACAAGCCCTGAATTTAACACAAATTGTTCTTTTCACAGTTCCTGCCTGAGCTCGCCGACGCGGAGCCTCTGCGGGCTCTGGCACTGATCCAGTGCTAGCAGATGCAGCAGTCGGCTCCACATGCGGACTCGGATGGCTCGGCACCTGCAATGGAGTGCTCCCCAAAATGTGGTTCAGCATAAGCTAAGCCAAGCCTTTGCACCAATAATCAGCACCCTATACTATTTAAGGTGATGTCAGAAAAGCGGCAACAATTAGCCATTTCTGAAATCGTCTGGGCCTCGTCATTCGGGTGAGGATAGGATGGTGGAGGCAATGCCGGTGGCGGCGGTGGCGGCAATGGAGCCATCTGTGCCGCTCGTCTTGCTGATGGGCGTGTGGTCTCCTCCGTGATCTCCGTCACCCTTGGCCCCGCCCCGTAGTGTGGCTCATCGAAGACCTCCGTCACCGTTGGCCCCGCCCTGTAGTGTGGCAGTGGCTCATCGAAGACCTCTGTCACCGTCGGCCCCGGTCCGTAGTTGTACTGTGGCTCCTCGTCGAAGACCTCTGTCACTGTCGGCCCGGCTCCACCCCACCACACGGAGCCTGCTCCGCCCCAGCAGCCTTTACCTTCCCAGGACCTTGGGTCCCATTTTCCAGCTGCAGACTTTCCGCCCTTCCATGACAAGTCCAACTCGTGGTGCTCCGAGGGCTTTCCGGCTGCGGACTTTCCGCCACCCTTCCAGGACCAGTCCAAGTAGTGCTCTGATGGCTTTCCACCCGCGGACTTTCCGCCGCCCTTCCAGGACCAGTCCATCAACTCGTAGCTGTAATGCTCTGGCACACCCTTGGACTTTCCGCCCTTCCAAGACCCGTCAGACTCATATGCCCAAGCTGCAGTGTGCTCAGCCGGCTGCCTCCCCACCGGTAGGGGCCGTTGGCCTAGGCTCGCCTCTGTCACCACATGGCTGACACCCAAGAGGTTCCGCACCTGCAGGGACATGTCAGAAAGTGACCTTCTTCTATAGATTCTTCAGATGTTCAGCTTCCTTCTGGGGTCTGGGCTAAGAACCTCCATGTTACAAGAAGCCTGTGCCTGTCACCTAAATGATGCCCTTTTGTGCAGAGACCCCTTCCCGGCCTCTCTACGCAGATGCCAGTTGCTTGTGGACCCCAGAGCATCCCGATCCCGGGCCCTGGATCGGCTCCTGGTCCTGCTCCTGCTGTCGCCGCGCCTCCTTCGTCGCCTGTCACGCGACCGCGAACGACTTCTGTCTGTGGCAGCCCTGAGGAGAGCTTCCAGCACTCGGCGAGAAGACATGGCAGAGTTCGAGAACCGAGCTTAAAGTCTATGACTTGCTCTGTTTCTCTCAATCAAGTCCTTGTCAGTAATTACCACACTGCCAGTGCAGAGAGCTCCAGGGAGCTCTTTTGCCTATGCCACATGCAGCAGGGAATGTATGCGAACCATAACCGCAGCATGCACATCTCCAACACAAAGCTGCTTCCTGCAACGAGCTCTCTCTGACCCTGCAATGAACAACAGCTGCACATTGCTTCACAATGGGTTTTCCAGAGCTAAAGCAAGAACAACATAAAGTCATACAACATAAGAGGATGCGAAGAACATGATTTTGATACTAGCTCTGCCTAGACTTAGAGCAGCATAAGCCATCCCAACTTCTGCTCTCAGCCCCCGACTGAAGGACGGCCCAGCACAGCTGTGCCCAGAACAGCTCGAGCCCAGGCAGAAGGACAGTTGGAATGTAAGTGCTGCTAGTGTGAGATCACATAGTAGGTGTCTGAGAAAGAAGGCCTGACCGAGTGCAACACAATATGATATCACAAAATAACATGCCTATGCTGTTTTCCTTGGGACTTGTCCTGTGCCAGGACCACATTTCTCCATCACCTGGCAGTGCAACAACAAAGACGCTGCCCTCACCAATCCGAGGCTGCCGAACATAGTGAACTCACAGAGGTCAGCAGTTTGCTTGGTCTGCACGACAAATGTTTAGTGGCTAGATAATCAAACTCCTGCTATCAAGAGGCACCTGCTCTGGCAAAAGCTGCTCGGGCTGTCTGCCACCGACGAACCTCCCCTTGGGACCTCATGCAAGAAACATCTTTGCTGCATCCCGCAATCATCCTAGCTCAAGCTGTGCTGTAGCACTCGAAGATCCTTCAACATGCCATGTCCCAAAAAGAAGACTGTGCCGGCCAGTGCAGGGCCCAAGCAGAAGAAGACTCAGAAGGCTACAGTTGCACTGTACGCACGAACCAGCTCAAAGACCAATGCTGACAGCGATCTTGTGCTGAGAGAAGATTGCTTGCTAGGGCCCTTCGGTTGTTGTCTCTTTTCCTCGTCTTCTGAAGTTTGCTGCGGTTCCAAGAAGCTGCCCTCTTCTTAATAGTGCGAGAGTATTATTGGCTTTCACATCTGGCCATGTCTGACACAAGTAGAAGGGCTTCACCTCAGACTTCTGTCGGATGAGCGACAGAAGCATGCTGAAAATCATGCAGCCGAAGCTAATCATCTAGGCGGACCTGATCATGAGCCCAAGCTAAGAATCTGAAACCGAGTATCGCTGTTATCTTTGCAGAAATTGGTACCAATTTCTGCCAACAAAAACAACCTCATCAGTCTAGAATGAAACCAAGCTGTGACATCGGCTCCTGACACTAGGCCCGGGATTTGAGAAGAACTTGGTACCAAGTACTGCTCAAATCCTACCTCATTGCTCCTGTTCACCTGAAGTAGTACTAACTAGGGAATTATTGTCCGATTCATGAAATAAAACCCGACACCCAGATGCCCCGATGAAACCCACGATGAAACCCACCACCCAAAAGCCGGCAGCACCACAAACTCACACAGTAATCCGAAGTCCTGAGCTTTCAAGGACAGTGCACCTCGCCAGTTCCAGGCAGCCAGAGCAGCTCTCGTCAAAGCAGGAATGTCCTGCAAAGGCATGGCACAGGTGCAGGAATGTATCAGTGGGGCTGCCCCTCTGACCTCCCGGAAGAAGCTCTTGAAGCTACTTACAACAGCCTCAGAAGTCTACTGCGAGAGTGCAAGAGCCATCGCCAGGAACATGTCATGTAATACAAGCGTTCTATTGGTGCTTGGGTTCGTATTTTCGGAACTAACTGTCCGTGCACCTCTGTTGAACCCTGTCAAGCTAGACTTAGAGGAGTTCGGAGATCGGGGAGCAGATCCACGACATGGCAGAGAAGAAGGGTGTGAAAATCGTGTGCCAGGACTTGCCCGGGTTGTTCATACACAACGCAAGCCCCATGGAGAAGTTCACCCGGAAGCTTGTGCTCTCACTTTTTGAGCTGGAACGAGACATCCTTGTCAATCGCCTTTACTCGGGACTCTGTGCGAAGCGTGCCACCAGCAGCAGACTCAATCAATGCGGGTCACCCAAGGCCAATGGACGCAAGTCCATCCTGGAGAAACTCAAACCCAGCAAGAAAGTGGTGGCTCGCCTGAAGTCCCTTCTCAAGCAGCGCGAGAAAGGCAGCTATGGGTGGCGTCCTCTGGCCGTGAAGTTCGCAGCTGCATTGGGCTTCAAGAGGAAGAAGACCTTGAGTGTCCAAACCGTGAGGCGCATGTCGAAGGAACTCAGCCACATGTAGTGCTAACATGCTTGCCCCCAGGCCCCTGTCCTGGCAAAAGCCCCGAAGCATTTAAGGAGGATGCTAGCATGTTCTTAAATGTTAGAAGGCTAAGGCCCTCTGCCAGGGCTCGGGTGGAAAGGGCAAGTTCAACTTCTCAGGTTTGTATGCTTTCTGGCATGTGCACATCGTCTAATTTACTCCCAGTATGTTCGAAGCACGACAGTCATGGCCGCAAATAAAGGCTATGACATGTTGCTGCAGGCCAGACTCGCAGCAGCTAATGTACCCAGACAGGCACTGGAAGTGCAGAAAGAACCGGGCTCTTGTTGCCTTGCCTTGTCTAGTGTTTCGGCTACAGAAAGAAAAGCAGCTCAACTTTCGGCCGACCACAGCTGATAAGAACCACCCTCAACCGTGGGGCTCACACCATGGCTCGATGCTCACGTCTGACGGAGAAGTTAAGCACAAATGTGTGACAGGTGTCAGGGAAGGTAATCTGCATGTGCTGGGTGTGCTGTGAATGCATTAGTTGCTTTGTTGGTTTGTTTTGGGGCTATGCATGTGCAGCCAGAATATTAGCTAAGCCTGTCCTTCACAGGGTGGGGTGGACTGCGATGTGGGCAGGGGATTTCAACATAATTAACAGGGGGTCGTAAACCTAAGTTTTCGAACCGCCACCCCTGATTTCGAGACACCCAGCCATTTTTCGAGACACCCTTGAGCTGTTGGCAGTACTACAGCCACCCTCCCTTCCCTTCCACTGCAGAGGAGTTGCCGCAAATCATGCACATCGAAGAAGGCCTGCCGGCATCAAAGGTGGGTAGGGCTGTCATCAAACATTTGACTTATCTGGCACTGTGACAGTGCAGCTAAGCTTTCTGGCGCTGTGATAGCGCATGGTGCATGCTATTCTCTTTAGGAAAGACATCAGGCGCTGTGAGAGCGCACACACATGAAGATGCAGCGACTAAGACTATCGAAGCTCCAGAAAAAAGACACTGATTCAACCCGCAGGCCAGCCTTGAAAGAAAGCCGAAGATCGGGATGCTCAGGCCTCAGAGTGCATAGTTTTCTGAAGATGCATCACTGAAGTGGATTCTGTTGGGCACTAGCAACAACATGCAAGCACTGTGCTGCACAGCAAAGGCCCAAGACTTAAGAAGGTTTGTGAGTTCATGAAATACAGAGATCATGGCAGCTTCATCGAGCGGTGGGGTTCTTATTATGTCCTTGTCATCGATGCATATATAAAATATGCTCAACTGTAACTACTTTACCTTTGATGCAGAAATTTGAATCCATCACAGTTGCACAGGAACAAGTAGCATCACCGAAAAGCCATGTCCGGATCCGGGTGGGCCGGGTCGTCGAGCTGGAATGATGGCACATGGTGGCACTGGGATGATGATGAGGAGGAGGAGACGGGACAGGGAAAGTCCGGTTCCCAACGTGGTGGAAAGGGGACCACACAGATGAAAGGACGGCAGGGAGGGATGGCTCTGCGGGCCAGGTTTGAGGATGGAACACAGGAGAGGACACGCTCCCAGGCTGATCGTGAGGCGATCAGGGCTCCACTGAAGAAAGAGATCAAGGAGCTCAAAGCACAGCTGGCGACGGTTCAGAGTGAAGCGGACCACACGGCCCGCGAGCTGGCCAGGAACCAGGCAGGGCCGGGCAGGGAAATGCCATCATTCGCGGTTCCCAGAACAAACCTTTTCTTGGGCAGGGCATGAACGCCGACTTGAAGCACAGGGCCGAGATGGCTGAGGCCACTAGTTTGTGTTGGCGTTTTGCAAGTGAAACTTGTGTCCAATGCCTTGTTTCTTTCCAGGGCCGAGTGCGCAAAGTGAATCTGGACCTCATCACTGCCAAGTCCACAGAGGAGGCCTTTACTGCCCGGTTTCCACACAGTTTGAAGCTGATTCAGTTTGTGGTTTCTTGCCAGGTCCACTTGAAGTCGAACGACGACCTTAAGAAGCAGCTTCAGGCATGGTAGCCATGCACAATCACAGGCCATTCATCCTGCAAGCCCTTTTCTGAGGATTGCCAAAAGAAGGTCACAAGCCTGGAGGCGGAGTGCCAGCAGAAGGACACAATGGTCACAAGCCTACAGGCGAAGTGGATGAGCACAGAGTTACATCAGATTTCATTGTGCACTCAGACCATTTTCCAAAACAGCGGCAGGCCGACTTAAAGCAGCTGCAAGAAGTGAAGGCACTGCGAGTTCAATTCAGTCGACGTATAGGGCCATCCGGGAATCTGCCCCAGGAATCCAGAGACCTCCAGAACGAGGAGGAGCTCCGTGGAGCCAAGGCAATCAGTCTGGGCAACACAGTATATTGTGCATGGGTCGGCACAGCACACAATCTATCATGCATT